CTCGATGCCTTCAAAAACTGCATTTTTTAACCTCTACAAAAGAGATATGAGGCACCAACATTCTATAAAGGTGAGGAGAAACCTTCATACCCGAAGGAATTTGTAAGGGCAGATCAGGAGAAAAGTGAGGAGGGTTCTAATGAACTTTAAAGTGATTAACAATAGCATTTGATATATTAGTATAGAAGTAAAGTGGCCCTCGTTGGTAGTAATCTCCTTAATGATATTCTTATTATTCTAATTTCTAAGTTTGGCATAGAGAAAACCAAGATTCTCTTCACCATGAGTTATCCATAAAGCTTTAGCTCTTTGAGATATCCAAGAGGTCCAAGATGATTGCAAAGATGCAAGATTTTGATTTATGCTCTTCAAGGCATGGTTAAGCTCCTCATTTAATAGTTGAGATTGGATGTCCAAAAGGCATTTATGTTGCTTGGTCTTTAATTCTAAAATAGAACTAGATAGAAAGTTAGAGGATGTCCAATTTCTATTTTTCAAAGTCCTTTTGAGACAATGCAAACTATGGTAAAATGAAGAAGTCGGACTATCGAAAGTCCTAATATTGGTCAAAAAACATCATCCAGAATCCTTGCATGTTGACACAATAATTCTTGAACATAAACTAGAGGAAATAGGTTTGGCATGATAAGGTATAAAAATTAAAGGTGAATGGTCAGAGCCAGAGGGAGGTTCAATCTTGTAATAAGCAGAAGGTAAGCAATCCAATAAAGCAGAGTTAACCAAAACTCTATCAAGCTTGATGTGTATAGGGTTGTCCACCCTTTGATTGTACCAAGTGTAAAAATGGCCAACCAAAGAAAGATCTTGCACACCACAATTAACAACCATATTATTTAGCTCTCCCAGTCTACATTCAGATAATTTAGAACCACCAGCTTTTTTGATTCATATCTATAATAATTAAAATCACCAAAAATAATCCAAGGTTGATCCTGAGCAGGAATTAAATATAACAATTGATTCCAAAGGCTTCTGCACTCATCCACGCTATTGGCAGCATATATAACAAAAAGGTATATGGGAGGAAAAGAGCCCGCAGAGAGAATGCCACGAATAAGTTGTGGAGTAGTAAGTAACTGGGAGAAGAAAAAGAAAGAAGAGTCCCATTATCACCAGATTCTACCAAGGATAGAATCACTGAAATTGTTGTAGCTACATTCATTCTCAAAAAGCATATGAGAATTTAAAAACCAAGGGTCCTCTTCAGGATTTGGAGAGATTTTAGCTTCTAGGATGCATAAAAGCTTAAGATCATGAGAAATGATAGCCGCACTTTGTCAGGGTAAAACCCCTTACATTCCAACTGGCAAAAGATGATAAGGACATTAGGTCCTAGTGGCTTTGGCCTTCTTGGCTGATTTACCCTTCAAAGGCTTGACTTGCTGGGAGATTTTTCTTTGGTAACAAAAGGTTTGGAGGTGGATGGGGAATTTTCCAAATTTCCTAAATTAGGTGGATCTTCTTCTAATTTAGAGAAGGAATAGTCTCATTATATGATTGATTATCTAGTGGGTTATGATTATTAGGTTCTTCAGTTTGCAAAGAGGTAAACCTATTAATTAAAGGAAATTTGGAGGTTAGTAGGGTGCAATATGAAGTAGGTTGATTAGCGGAAGAGGTTTCCTCTGTGGGAGAATTGAGGTTAGGAAGAATAGAAGGTTTAACAGGGTGAGAAGGAGGGCGAAAAGGAGCAGTTGAAGGAACAACCTGAAGCAAATCTGGACCCGGTTGACGAGTGGAAGAAGGAAAAATAGAGGAAGGAGATTGAATAATGGCTTGGTTTCTAAAGGTAGGAGAAGGCTATTTGGATGTGGATCTATGTGGTCGAGATGTCTGAAGCCTAGAAGAGCTTCTTCCTCTGGTATTGGAGGGTTAAGGTGGAAGAATGGGTTGCGGGTTAGGATTGGTGCGACAAAGAGAGTAGGGATGTATCAGGGAGCCACAACCTTCACATCGGGTAGGCTTCCAGTAATAGATTACTTTCAATACCATATCATCACCATAAATTTCCAACAAAATTTCATAGGGAAGGGTAGAATCTTTAGTGATTTGAACACATACCCTAGCAAAAATAAATCTTATGCGTTTAGCCGTAAGAGAATCCACGGAGAGCGGTATGCCAATGAAGCTCACGATTCTCGAAATGCCAGTCGGAATCTAGAGAGCTAAGGGGAGATCCACAATTTTGATCCATATTGGTATAGAAGCTGAATCATCTCTTTTCGGCTTGAACTTCGGGGACCAACGCTGGAGAATGAAAGGCTTCCCCAATAGGAACCATGGTCTTCCGGACTAGACCATCTCTAGGTCTTTCGAGGTAGAAAACTTTAGGAGAAAGAAACCATCAGCTAGGGAGAGCAAGCTCAGAGATCTTTTGAGGTTCCAGAGATTTTGCATGGCTTTTAGAAGCCTCTCATAGTAGGGACGAGGGCCAAGAGAGTAACCGATTAAAGAGGTATTCTAGAAAGTTGTGCCTTCAAAGAGGTCATTAGACGTGAAGGAAAGCTTTTGCCCCAGGGAGAAGAAAGAAACCGGGAAGTCATTCGGCTTGGAAGCAGGAGCCGTAACGTTGTCGGCATAAGATAAACTAACAGGGGAAGGGCCAAGAATAGAGGAGTTGGGGAGGGGAGGGAACTCTTGTGTGAAAAAGGCCATCAGTGGAGGGAGGCGCCCTCCCTGATGGGGAAGCGTCAGCAGCACAAAAGCAGTGGAAGAGAAACCCTAGCAGAGCCAAAAGCTTCCCAAAGATTTTGTGAAAAATTCAAGGAGGCTAATTTTGGTTTGGTAATCCTCACTTCATCAATTTAATAAAAATATTTTTGAGAAATTTCAACAACATTAAATAATTCAAATTTCTCCCTTTATCTGTGTTACTATCTCTCAGATCACTTTATATATGGGATATAAAGTCCTACAACTTATTAGGCAATGACAGCTGCCATTAAAATGGGGATGCATACATTTCTATATGTAGAAAGCTTCTCTACTTGCCTTATTTGATGAAATTTTCTTGTCATCTGACCCCTATCCCTATTATTCATTCTTCTTCTTTACTTTTGGAATTTTGTCAGTTCTTTTGAATTCTGGATGTTCTATAATGCACACGGCATGATGCATTATTCTCTCTGAAAGTCCAATGACATTCCAGTTATGAGTAGTTGTTGATGTATATTAATAGCTGATCTCAGCATATGATATTGGTGGAAGAAGCCTGAGTCGTTGAGTTGTTACACTAAGTTCTTTTGTTGTGGCTGTTATTAAATATTGATTGCGAGTGCTTATCAATTTTATTTAGTGTTGATGCCGTGAAGCATTGACTATTCAAATCTTCCATGGTTTAGTTGTCATATTTTTTTGGACTGCTCCAATCAGCCCCTTTTAATGGGTCGGTTCAGGTTTACAAAAGAAGGGGTGGTGGCAAGAGAGAGCGGAGGTGGGGTCCAATAGAGATTCAAATTCAAATGTTTGGGGCCAAAGGAGAGGGCGGCAAGTACTAATCTGTTTTTTGGCTTTAATGATTAATTGTATGAATTAAGTATGAGGGAGGAATTAGGGTTAGTGTTATGAATTATTCTGTGGCTAATTTTCGAGTTCTTGTTCTTGGTGTCTTGGGCCCTAGATTCGTCTAGGGATTGACAGAGAACGATCCTCCTCTTAAATTGAGGATCAAATGTATCTTGTTTTGTTTCTTCCGTTAGCTTTGGTTTCTTCAAAAAACATTATCGTTTGCTGATTTCCCATTAAATTGGTGAAAGGATTTGCTGTTTTCACCTCTCTTGTTAGGGTTACTTGAAATCTTCAAGTATTTCCTAACATACCTTTGATTGAGAATGATGAGGCATTAAAGATGACCTGATATATACATCCTTTATCATGGACCGTTTATCGAGTATTTGAGTATCTTAGTGATATCATAGTTTGATGATCTTGGGCTCATTGGAGTCTTCTCATCGAGCCGCTCGATTTCACTATAAGCATGTAACATTTGGGAATTGTTTGGTCATTCAATTTATGGTTTGAACCTTCCAAATGTGCTTCGGATCTTTGATTTGGACCCATTCGAGCTCGTATTGGGTCGAATTTGGTGACTTCGATAAAGTTAAGGAGTTGTCTTTGGATATCTTTTTATTGAAGCTCTGTGCTACAACATTGGTAATTCAGAAGGATTTTAATCCATTTCACCTCTTTTTCTCTCTCTCTCTCCCTCTGTATACATATATATAGACACACACACATGCACATAGATGCAAACCTGCATTGATGCATATATATATATATATATATATATATATATATATATATCCTACTTGCATTCAAATTTCTCTTAACTTGAAAAAATATTGGATTTGTATGGACAATGAGGAGAAATATAAGGATGGTGAGACATATTTTTACAATTAATGGCTGATAATTATAGTTGTCTTTTGTTTTCCTCAGTAATGTATTCCTCGAGATTTCTCTTGGAAGAATTCTACTGGTGATTGCCAACAAGTGACTGATCTTTTGGAAATCAAGTTTCTTATACTCATTTTGTAATGGCGAGCATCAAGGATGGCCTGAAAATTCTCAGGCAACCGATGTTATGATTTTACCTATTTAAGCTTGAGATGAAAGGACCTTTAGAAGGCTTCTTTTTATTAATTTATTATTATTTCATTGGAATCTAGTTGTCATATCACTCTCTCTCTCTCATATAACACGGTGCACACAGCTCATCTTGGCATGTTGGTTGAGAACTTATGCTTCCAACTAAGAGGTCTTGGGTTCGAGTCTTTGTGTATGCGTTGTGTGTATGAGTCTTAAATGGCCTAAATGTCCAAAAAAAAAAAAAAACACGGTGCAGTAACCATGTTACCTTGTCGAGCATTTTTTTCATTATATAGATATTAGATTTTTTATGGAGAAGTACAGATAAAGTATGATATTTATTGGTTTACATAAAGCTTATGATAAAGTTTCAAGAGAAATGCCCCGGAGAGTTATGGAAAAGAAATGACTTCTTTGCCTTCTTCGACAACTTTCCTTTATCTTGAATCCCAAGTCATGACAGTCCGCCGTTCACATTTTAAATTATATTAATTAAGTTCAATTAGACTAATTAGATTAATTTCTTCGCATAGGCGTCTAGGGTTTGCTTTACATCTTGTCTAGTTTTTGCATGAGTCGCTTCTTCGGCTCCTTCATTGTTGTTCGACTTCGCTCGTCAACGTTCCCTTCTTGTTGGATCTGACGTCTTGACATTTTAATTGGAAGCAACTACGAGGAGCTTTCTCTCTGTTAATGAAACTATCATTCTCCCTTTCGCGCTCTTCTTCAGCCAAATCCTAAATCCGAGAAATTTCGGGATTTATTAAATCCCGGATTTACGGCCAATAAGGGAGACGGAGGATTTATCCCTCCGTGAGATTTAGCGGGCGCTCAAATCTTGTTCACAGGATTTGGCAAAAATCCTGCTAAAAATGGCATAAATCCTGTTAAATCCTTTATCCAGACAGTCCTAGGGATTAGCCACTAACGACGCATGGATATCCATATGCTTGCTATTTTTTATGATCTGTAATCTTTGGATGTCCTTCAGCTTATGAGGCAACAACAGCTGGCATTACTATGGGGATTTATACATAGCTGTCAGTATAAAGCTTTCTACTTGCCTTATATAATGGATTCTGCTGTCATCTGACCCCTATCCGTATTCTTTGTCTCTCATTCTTCTTCTTTACTTTTGGAATTTAGTCAATTCTTTTGGGTTATTGATGTTTTATAATGTGCAGGGTAGGAAGCATTATTCTCTTTAAAATTCCAATGGAATTCACGTTCTGAGTAGTTGCAGATCCATATTTATTGTAGATTAATGGATGAGATTGTTTTGGAAGCATTATTCTTGTTGCGTCCTGGAATATTCGTGGTGGTAGAGATATATAAAGTTTAGCATCTTAGATTTATATAAAAACCCTGCACACATGCAAATAAAATAGTAAGAGTTATAACATTCGCCAAAGATACCAAAATTTTTACATAGAAAATCCTAAAAAGAGGAAAAATCACGTTGCCTTGCCCAGTTTAAATAAATCTACTAGTTTTTGCAGTTGATTAAAAATGAGGCCCTTCCTTAGGGGTAATTCCTTTGCTTGATGTTGCCAATATACATTATATTGAGTGCATTACATGGTGGGAGTTGGAATAATTAGTTTTGACATGTTTTGAATGGACGGTCGATATCGACTCCTTTGTTCACAAACCATTTATTGAGTATTTGCATATCTTAATGATATCATAATTTGGCGATCTTGAGCTTGTTGGATTATGCTTGTCGAGCCGCGCGATTTGACTATAAGCATGTTACATTTGTGAATCGTTTGGTCATTCAATTTATGGTTTGAACCTTCCGAATGTGCTTCGGGTCTTTTGATTTGGACCCATTCTAGGTTGGATTGGGTCGTATTTAGAGTCTTTGGGTTCGTCTTTTCGAGACGTTCAGTTCGACTATAAATTTGTTGAAATTGAAGTTCAGATGGCCCTGAATTTTATTTTGAAAGTTTTCAATACGAAATTATCTCGAGATTCGTGCTCGATCAAGATAATTTTTTGTTGATACATCAATTCTCAATGCTATTATCTTAGGTTCTTTCTCCTCTTTATGAGTTCCATACATAGCATGATGATGATGATTTACCTGAGTACTCACCATCCACACATGGATATCACTATGTTTCTTATCTGTGATCTGGAATCTTTGGATGTCCTACAGCTTTTGAGACAATGACAACCGGTATTAAAATGGGGAGTCATACGTAGCTATTTGTAGAAAGCTTCTCTACTTGCCTTATTTAATGGATTTTGCTGCCATTGACTCCTATCCCTAGTCTTGGTCTCCCATTCTTCTTTACTTTTGAAATTTAGTCATTATTATTATTATTATTATTATCAGTTCTTTTGGGTTTTGGATGTTTCATAATGTAAAGGATAGGATGCATTATTCTTTTTGAAGTTCCAATGAAATTCCTGTTTTGAGTAGTTGTAGATGTATATTTATAATGGATTAACATCAACATATGATATTGTTGTGGAAAAAGCACGCCTCATTGATTTTTGCACCATGATTGTTGTTGTGGCTGTTATTAATTTTTAATTGCCAGTGCTTATTTGTTTTATAAAGTTTTCTTGCCATGATGCATTTGCCTCTTTGAATCTTCCATGGTTGAGTTAGCATCTCTTTAATTGAGATTGGTGAGGCATCAATAATGACTTTATATTCCGCAAGTAACAGATGCTTCCATTTTTTTAATTTGGGCTTGAGCAGGGAGGACAGCTTGAAATCTTTTTCTCTTTTTCTCATGATAAAGTTTAAAACTTTGGGAGCGAGTTATGGAGCATAGGTTGCGGCGTGATACTAATGTTTCTCAAAATTAATTTGTATTCATGCCGGGTAGGTCGACTATGGAAGCCATACATTTATTAAGAGGTTTGATGGAGAAATATAGCCCGAATCAAAATAACCTGACACAATCTGATTTTGTTTCGATTGAAATTGGATCGGACTGACCAATTAGCAGAAAGTTCAGAAAGGAAACTGTTCAACGAAATAATTTCTAAGAGATTGAAAAATGGTTCTTAGCTGTTTTAAATTAAGATGGATCAAAGGCTGGGCATGTAAAATGCTAATCTCAAAGAACATGTAATGAAACGTGCACATAACAAAAATTATTACAGGAATGTATACTTAGGATTCATGTAATTGTAAACAAATGTTTAAATGTGAAAAGTTAATTTGGAATACGATGGTTGTTTCCTTGTTCAAAAAGCTTTAAGCATACCACCAGAATTTGAACTTCAGTAAACTTTTATAAACTAATACATTTTTTTATTCTTAAGAGGTAGGATACGAAATGAGCATATACGTGAAAAGGTTGGAGTAGCTCCAGTAGAAGATAAGATTAGAGAGAGTCGCCTTAGATGGTTTGGTCACATAAAACGGCGGCCTTCCGATGACCCGGTTAGGAGAGTAGAGGTATTAGATTTGACTTATGTTAAGAAAGGTAGGGGTAGACCTAAAAAGACTTGGTTAGAAAATATTAGGAATGACCTTTCTTTATTAGATTTAAACGAGAATTTGACTTTTAATAGGACACAATGGAGAAAAAGGATTCATGTAGCCGACCCCACGTAGTGGGATAAAGGCTTGATGTTGTTGTTGTAGTATTGGTCCTTTTACCATTATTGCTGCTACTTCAAGAACCTGCTTATATTTAATTGTTTGCATGCTTGTTCTAACTTTGCGTCATATTCTTTTCAGCAGGAGGACCTGGAGGCATTTGTTTGCAAGATGCTTGCAGTCACATTATTGCTGTATTTTCATTATAGAGGCTGTGGTGATTTCCTCTAGGATAATTACACTTTTTTAATATATAAACATCAAAATGGTTACCTGAATTTTTATGATGGGCCATAATGTTCTTCAATTTTATTAAAAGATCATTTTGGTCTTAACTTATTTTAGGAGAATCAAAATAGGTCCATGGCCAGGACCATTTTAAATTACTGCACTCAAATGTTTCTAAGTTGTGAAACCCGTATCTTTAACTGGTTTAGTGCTATTTAATAAGAGAATCACTGAGATATACTTACAAATTCCTTAGGATAACAATAAAGCTACCATGGTGCGGAGATAAGAGAGCAAGTAAAATTGTTAGGATTTTCTATTTAGTAGTGCTAATCTATTTTTTAGTTTCTGCTATCAATGAATGTTACAGCATATAATAAATACGCAACATTACAAGGTCTTTAGCTTTCTTAATGGATTCACCCTAAAATAACAAGTTGCTAGCATTTCTCTCTCTCTAATTCACCCTGTCGCTCCATCGTCTCTCTCTTGTTCTCTCCCACTCTCCGCCTTTTTCTCTGTCTTTCCAGCCTACCTCTCTTTCTCTTTCTCTCTCTATCATTAGAAAAAAGTTCGGCTCTCTATCATTAGAATGCCACATTGTTCTTTTTGATCAAGAATGTCCCGAAGCTTTCTGGTATTAAAGGTGCCACGTAAAGGTGAAAGATTTTTCGGTGATATTCTAGTTTGTTTATCAAATATGCTTCCCTCACCCTTGCTTTAATGTCATAGACATAAGCTGTAGATGTCATGATTTTAGGTTTTTATGGTTATAGCTGATCTATCAGAGTGGAAGTTTGCTTTCAGCTTTTCCTAAGTTTTAGCAAATCAATCTTGTTATCATGCAGCTTACCTTGATTTGTTGGCTGGCTCAAAAGTCCAAAAAAAAAAAAACTTTGTTGGTGACTGGAATCCCTTTTGTGGCATGTATTCCTGCTAGCTGGCAATTCTCCAAGCCTTGGAGTTGCGGAAGCTGCACTTTTATAAATTTTGGTTAAAGTTTGCTAAGGCTTTGTTTGGAACGGCTTTCTTACTGTTTTTTTAAGCAGCTTTCTAGCACAAAAATTATGGGAAGGAGTAATATAGCATAATTTATAATTTGATTTTAATGTTTCTCAAAATTGTCTTGAATTCTTGGTGGGTAGGTCCTCTATTGAACATATATTTTTGTTGAGAGGTTTGATGGAGAAGCATAGATAGAGTAAAAGGGAGATATTTATTTATTTAGAGTAAGCATATGATAAACTGTCAAGAGAAGTGTTGTGGAGAGTTCTAGAAAAGAAAAAAGTTAGTAATTCTTATATTTAAGTCATTAAGGATATGTATACAGGAGTTTTAGTTTGTGTTTAAACACAAGGTGGTTTGATCAAGTATTTTTTCTATTTTAGTTGGATTATATAAAGGATTAATGTTAAGCACATATCTTTTTTTCTTTAGTCATGGATGTTCTTTCTAGACTTCTGTAAGGGGATGTAACTTCCTGTATGCTTCTTGCTGTTGATATTCTTATTATTGATCGGATTAGTGAGAGAGTTGATGAAATATTTGAATTATGGAGGTTAGCCTAAGTGTTTAAAGTTTTTCGTTTGAGTAGATCTAAAATTGAATACATGAAGTTTAATTTTAATATTAATAGATCTAGTGGTGGGATTGTGTCATTGGGTGGTCAAGTCATTAAAAAGAGTGCATGTTTTAGATATTTTGGGTCTATTGTTCAAGACGATATTGATTTAGAGTGGTATATCATTAGTGTAATTGAAGTTGGATGGTTGAAGTTGCGGAATGCATCAATTTTGTTTTGTGATGGAAGCGCATTCCTCAAACTTATGGGATATATACTTTTATAAGATTATGGTGAGGCCTGCAATGCCTTATGAAGCATAATGTTAGCCATTTAAACAAAATTGATGAGGCCTGCAAGGCTGGCAAAACTTGCTTTTTACTTGTATTTTTCTCAATAATGTAATCATCGAGATATCTTTGGTAGAACTGAGCTGGTGATTGCCATGACTGATCTTCTGGAACCCAGGTTTCCTTATGTTACTTTTGCAATGTCGAACATCAAGGATGGCTTGAAAATTCTCAAGCAACCGATGTTATGATTATCCCTATTTATGCTTCAGTTTGGAAGGCTTCTAGAAAGCTGATTTTTTATTTATTAGTGTTGGAATTCACTAGCCATATTGTACTCTCTTTCTCTTCTGAAGCATCTTTCGGTTATATATATACAGACAAATATTTGATATC